AAATAAGAGACCAAAAGATGCTATTTCCTTTTTTCTTTTTCTCCGTCTATGTTTACCAACTTTCTTGTAAAGTCCTTCCTCATCGATGCTAATAACATTTAAGTCATAAGTTCACATAGAAATGTCCCCTTGCACATCAATGTCCTCCTCAAATGCCCATTTAGCTGATGAATCATCATCAGCTAACCAATCACCTTGAATCACCTTATCATCCTTTAAATTAGAGGCTACTTGAGCTAACAAAGCATTGTTAGAAACAAGGGCGATGGGAACATCAATTAAAGGCACTTTATCATTCAACTCAACATCACCCAAAGGCGACACATTAATAGAATCCATAGAAGGATTACTCGCATTTGGCTGATTTAGAACACAAAGACGCCCATCCATAAAACCAACAGGAGGCGGGCTAAAGGGGGTATGATCACCCACAGAAACACCAACATCATTAGAAACCGGAACAGCTAAACTAACACCAACTTTCCTATTGATAAGTACATTAGGACTATCATCCATGCCATTCAAAGGCTCCATATTAGGAGCATCACCATAAGATGGACACAAAGAATGAAAAGTATTAAAGTTTTTCATACAAGCCTCATTAGTCGATTTTAAAATAATTCTAGCAGACTCAACGGTAGGAATGAAATCCTCAATAACATTCTTCTTAAATAGCTAACGAAGCAGTTTGTTGCAAACCGACAACAGGAGCGATCAAGGGATTAATAGCCATAACCTTAGTAAGAGCACAATGATCATCATTGCCTAACAATTTTTTGAATATTACCTAAATTATTAAGGCCAATCCAAACAGCCTTAGGATAACTTTTGGAGACATCCAGTTCGACAAGCACCCTTGCCAGACAACTTTGAGCCAACGACAGTAGTGTTATCAATTTTCAAAAGACGACCAAAAAGCAAACCCAAACCATGAAGAATGCGAGGGAGAACAGATGAGGCCTAAGATTTGGGAACGAAACCCAAATAAGGATGATCGGCGTCTCGACAGTTATATCAAAAAATGACGACCACTTAAACAATTTCATGTAGCAATTGGAAACAAAATAAGAACTATGGGAGAAAATTCTATTGTAATCCACATCGTTAACCAGCTTGATTAAAAGATGCTTTGGATCCAAAACAGTGACAGAGCATTCAACGATCAACTTGAGGATAAAGAACTTAGCATTCACCGATCAACTTGAGGTTAAAGAAGAACTTACGAATCAACTCAAGAGGAGGTCTTCGATTTGGGAATTTGCCAACCAACGCATAGTTGAAAGGTTGAGCAAGGGCAAGGATTTCTGCCATATAAATCCAAAGGGACGAAAGCCCACAGTTCATTGTAGCTTTGAGATCCGGGAAATCACTCGAAAGAGAATCCCTAGACTAGGCTTCTAAGAAGGAACGAGAGTTTTTTTTGCCCATTAAAGAAACCACAGTCACTCAATCGATTAACCACCTTCTGACGAGCGGAGGTGGCACGATCGAAAGAGAACAACCAAAAAAGAAATAAGGAGAGAAAGGAGATATCAACAGGAGAAAAAATCCCAAAGAACTAGGGGCCATGTGATGTGGAACATCATAGCTTAAGTTTTCCTTTGGACTAGCTTATTTTAGTTTGTTACATGATTTCTAGAGTGTTCTTAGTAGCTTATATAAGCAAGGTATTCTAAGGAGGAGAGGAGAGGAATATTATGACATTTTGAAGCTTTTAAGCTTGAGTTAGTTTCTTGTTATATATCTCTTCTAGCAGATTCAGTTCTTCCGCTGATCCATTGCAGCAGTTGGTATCAAAGCCTGGAGCTTGCGAAGAACGATGGAATGCCGAAGAAGATGGGCTGTCGATGATGATCGAAGCCGAAGAAAATGAGCAATCGATGAAGATCAACACCGAATAAGATGGGAGATCGACGTCGAAGGAGATGTGCGGTCTACGATGATCGACGCCCGAAGGAGATGGACGGTCGACGATGATCGATGCCAAAGGAGATGGGAGGTCAACGACTATCTTCCGCCCCAACTTCCACTCCAACGGCAAGATTCGTCGCTCCACTATCCTCCGTTCCAACTTTTGTTCCAATGGCGGAATTCCCTGCTCGACCATTTAGTTTGCAATCAAGCCGCAGTCGTTGCCTGCAACTTGCCTCTACTCCAGCTCCATTCCATCACCCTTGGTTCCGCCGCCGTCTTTTCATGCGATCCGACCCCACTCCCGTGGGCACCACCTGAGCCCGTCGGCCTGTTTCTAGCACGCGATCAAGATCCAAGCACATTTGTGTGACATCGCCTGTTAAATCGAGCTCCGATAATTGCGACTTCATCTAAATCAAGCTCGATCATCCCACGCTCGCTACAACACGCGAACAATGAATACATGCATGACGATGAGCGCGATCCCGCGCCTGACATCCAGCCTTGTCCCATTGCACGCAATTCTGTCTCTAATTCCTCTCGTGATCCCATACTCAACGAAGCAACTATTGCTGCTATTATCGAAACGAATGATTTCGATCTGGCCTTTGCTTTCTCTCGGGACCAAACACCGGGCGAACACGCTCTCTCTCGATCTGTTGGTCCCCCGCTCGTTCGCGTCTACGCGTTCGCCGCTCACGTATCCTGTATGTGACTTGTCCAACCACCTACAAACCAGCCTTCTTGGGGATATATTGAAACTTGTGTTTGCTACATACATGTTGAAAGTTGATTCTTTTGTGCATCTCACAAGCTTTTTGATGAAATGCCACATAGGGTTGCCATCGCTTGGAATGTTATGGTTCAAATGCCTGTAAATAATCATTTCCCTGAACTAGGCATACCTCCTCTAGTTAAGATTCTGGAGACGGGTTCTTCAAAGGCTAAGGAGGATTCTACTAAGATTTTTGGGAACCTTTTGTAATCACAACAATGATATTAGAGCATGTGTACAAATCGTTGATGTTGTTCCTAATTTATTATAGTTGCTGAAAAATCTTTTGTCGGTATTCAAAATCTTCGACTCAGGAGGATTGCTTATGTTCTCTACTCTTACCTCCTCACCAATGAAATCCCCCGACGGAGTCGAGTTCTTTAGATGTTAGGGGAGTATGATGTGGAATATCATAGCTTAAGTTTTTCTTAGGACTGCTTATTATAGTTTGTTACATGATTTCTAGAATGTTCTTAGTAGCTTATATAAACAAGGTATTGTATGGAGGGGAGGAGAGGAATATTATGACATTTTGAAGCTTTTAAGCTTGATTTAGTTCCTTGCTCTATATCTCTTCTAGCATATTCAGTCCTTCCGCCAATCCATTGCATCCCCATGGAGAGGCGAAAAGATTGAAATCAGCTGCTAGGGAAGAAACCCTAGCAGAGCGCAACTAGTGTGAAAGAGAATGAGTGAATTGTATGTTCGACTAAGAAGTGTCAGCAAGCAACTCTAGATTGTTTAGATAGCAGAATATGTGCCATTTTAGTTGAGAGATAAGGTTAGTACTGCTAGAAATAAGATACCATTTGTAGAATTAGTAATGCAGGTGACTTAGATTTAGGATTTTCTAATACAATTAGAATGATGCATAGTATTGCGCAAAGCATTTTTAGATTCATGTTTCAAAGCATAAAATTTGCTTTCTTTAGGTGCAAAATAGAAATATGAGAATTAGAACGCATGATAATGCAATAATCAAAGAAATTTAAAGAAATCAAGAAAAAATTATAATGGCGCAACTTCAATGAGGTAGACAATTCCAATTAATTGCCATAATTAAAATCCTAGTTGTGTAAAAAATTTAAATAAACTCTATAACACTAGCAAGCAATAACAAAATATGTATAAGAAATTATGAAGGAAAGTAGTAACCAAAGTAAAAAATATCATGGCCTTGACACGTATGAGGATATGACATCCTTTGGAACTATGTAGTCGTACACGTGCGCTTATACTATACGCGAAATAATCACAAATCCAACTTGCACGGTAGATTGAAATCTAGAAGAGAAATTTTGTATTCAATCGAAGTTCTCAATTACATGCTTTAAACTATCTATTTATAAATTTCTCATTCTAGGTTGATGCAAAATCAGCTGAGTTTAGGTTTAATAAATAAAAAAAAAATGGTTGACGCAAAATCAGCTGAGTTTAGTTTTAATAAATAAAAAAATTCAAGTCTTGATTTTAGAGATAAGTTCCAAAAACTAAACATTGTCTATGCAATTGTCGAAATCACGGTTATGTTCCAAACCTCATTTGTTAAAAGCATTCCCGTAATTCCTCAAACAGTGACCAGCCCGTGAATTAGGGGTATTATAGTTAAAATCACAAGCAGCAAACACGTGAGCCACAATTAGCTGTGCTGTAGCTTAAACCACAAGCCCCAAATCTCTTAACAATAAATTCGCAAATAAAAATTTGAATTTCAAATCAACTGCTGAAAGAAACCTTTAAAAGACCATTATTATTTTTACGGCCCAGTGACATCTTAAATCAACTCAATGCCCTTCTGATTCTAAGAGGCTAATTTATGATTCTTCTGGAAGTTCTTGCTGGCTGCTGATTGATCGACCTTACGGTCTCAATAAATGTCAATGTTTGTGACTTTGCGTAAGCAAATGGTGATATTGTCAAAGCATCGGATAATCTCGACTTCCATTATTATGAAACCTAAAAAATGAATTATTGGACATAAAACTGTAATATGCTTGTTAAACCTTCTAAACTATAGGAAATTCTTCACAGGACTTCATTTTGCTTATCTAGCTAAACCTAAAAATGCATTATATGATGTAACACAGAACCATGCTGTATAAACCTTCTATACTATACTATATAGGTAATTCTTCAGTCCATTTTGTTTTATCTTGTTATGACACTAGTAACGAAAACTATATTGAATCTTATCTTATTTATATATATTTTTATTTTTTATTTTCCTTTCTGCACAATTATGGTTATGTTCTTCTTGTCCAATTAAATGCATTTGTCTGGTATTTTATCTGCTTTCCTTGTATGAGTTCAGGTGTCAACTGGTGGAATACCAACCCCAGAGAAGGTCCAGCCACTTGGAACCATTTCTGCAGCTCCTTGGGGTTCTGCACTTATCTTGCCCATTTCATATACATACATTGCCATGATGGGATCCAAGGGGCTTACGGAAGCATCAAAGATAGCTATTCTAAATGCAAACTACATGGCAAAGCGTTTAGAGGTGCTTCCTAATTTTTTCTGTTCTGCCATCCCATAAAGATATTTCCTTAAGTTTTTTGTATCTGTCACATTATAAGCAAGCGTATGGAGATTATATTCAAAGCGGATTGCATAAAACAAAATAAAAATTAATAAATATAATCTATGGAAACTTGATCCCCCAATAACTAAATATAACAGATCATTGCTTAATGCAATTTCTTATATCAATAAAATTGGCTCACCCTTCTACTCGTGAGTGGTGCCATTACGCCAATTGAATTGATTAGGATCAATTTCACTTTTCAGTTAGTTTAAAAGTACAAATTTGTTGAGAAATATGAACTTTCTAAGCACAAAATTGTATGCTGCAGAATCATTACCCTATTCTCTTCCGTGGTGTTAGTGGAACTGTTGCTCATGAGTTTATTGTGGACTTGAGAGGATTTAAGGTAACTGGCAGAGCTAAAGACCTCTCCCTTTAAGGATCTTGCTTCTCTTCAATATTCTTAGCTTAAATCTGTTCCGCTACAGCAAACTGCAGGCATAGAGGCTGAAGATGTTGCTAAGCGTCTAATTGATTATGGATTTCACGGACCAACAATGTCATGGCCCGTTCCAGGAACACTTATGATTGAACCCACTGAAAGTGAAAGCAAAGTAATGTCCCCAAAAGTCTCTCTTTCTGACTTCTGTGTCTTTGACAATCCTTTACAAAAAAGTACTTTTGGTTCCTCCTGCAGGCTGAACTAGATAGGTTTTGTGATGCTCTTATATCCATCAGAGAAGAAATTCGAGAGATTGAGAATGGTAAAGCTGACATCAACAACAATGTCCTGAAGGTAAATTCATGAATTATTTGTGATGCTCTTATATCCATCATCATCCTCTTTACTAGGCATATCCTAAATATTTTTGCGGTCTTTGTGATTTCCCCAGCTGCTTTCTAGTGTAGTAATTTTAGCAGCTATATAAGGACTCATTTGGTTGCTTGTAGATAGAATTTAGATAATGATAATGTCATTTTTTTATGTTACTGAAATCATTAAATATTTGTGGAGGGGTTTTGAGAGGATTTGCGGAGCTTAAAATTAATGTTAATTTTCAAATATATCCTCTCAAATGATGGATTTATCAGATTTTATAATTTTCAAAGTCGTTTTCTAACTTCAAATAACGCAATGGGTCCTAAGCACATTTTCATTTAGGCTTTGTTTGGTTTGAAGGTATTGAAAGAGTTGAAAATAAAAGAAAATGAAATTGAAAATGATAAAGAAATGGATTTGAAACTTGATTTTCTCAATTGTTTGGTTGAGAAGTCCAATAAAAAGTATTTTTGTTTCATATTTGGTTGATAAGTAATTGAGTTTTTTGTTTCTTGTAAAGATGAGGCGTGGGAATCATAATTATGACTTGATAAAATTTTCTTTCATTTTTTCACCAAGGTTGAATATAGAATTGTTAATTTAAAAATGCATTTTTCAGTATTTGTTAGGTAAATTCGACCACTTATTAATTATATTGGAATCAAATGAAATGTCAATTTAATAATCCCAATTCATTCAAACCCAACGCACCCTTAGTTCCTTTCTATATCATGTAAATGTAAAAGTTGCATAGATACTAGTTAGGGCCTAGGGGTGTCAATTTTGCGTCATGGGTCGGGTTCGGGTCGAAATCGAAACTAACCCGACACAATTTGGGCAACTCGAACCCGACCCATTTTTGCAAATGGGTCAGATTTTCGAACCTTAACCTGATCCGCTTGTGGTCCGGATCAACCCGACACGACTCAAATGTCCTAGGCCCGACCAAAACTTGCTAGTTTTCGGATCCAAAAATGGGTCAATATCCGCTTTTCGGGTAAAAAACAGGTCGAAAATGGGTCAATCTAGGGTTGCCGGGTCAAAAACGGGTTTTCGGGTAAAAAATGGGTCAACCCAAACCCGACCCGATTTTTGAAATGGGTCGAATTGTTGAACCCAAACCCGAATCTGACCCATTTCATGTTCGGGTTGACCATAACCCAAAATTTTCGGGTCGGATTTTCAGATCGTGTCAAATATTGACACCCCTAATACTAGTTGATTATTGTTCTACGTATGCCCAAGCTGTTAACTTCTCCAAACTTTTCTTGCATATTTTATAATATTCATTTCATTCCGTCATTGTTTCACTTCCCAACAACCAACACTATAACATCTGCAAAATATGCACTAAAATTATTCATTTTAGGTTCCTTTTCTTATCTGGATAGATCACTTAAAGATCAAACTTAAATGCAGGGAGCTCCTCATCCACCTTCATTGCTCATGGGTGACACCTGGACTAAGCCATACTCGAGGGATTATGCAGCTTTCCCTGCTTCATGGCTCCGAGGAGCCAAGTTCTGGCCAACCACAGGTAACTTATACTTGAGATCTTTATGTACAGTTGGGCAATTAAACGGCATCACTAATACATTTCCTTGTATTTGATTCGTCAGGTCGTGTTGATAATGTATATGGCGATCGCAATCTCGTATGCACGCTTCTTTCTGTTTCGCAAATGGCCGAAGAACAAGCAGCTGCCACTGCATAAACTGTGAAATATCCTCATCGCAGACTGGTATTCCTAAAACTGCACATAAATATTAATTTCCAGGAGTATTCACTCACCTATATTCCTACAGTAAATGCCAAAAGCGTTGCTTTCTGTAGCCCAGTTCATCTTTATTCCAGTCTTTTTAATTTACTCCCATGGAGATACGATTGATTAAAGTACTTTGTAAATTATGTTCAACAAGCCTCTTTTATTTTATTTTATTTAAATTAATTGAAATAGTCTAATTTAAGCAGATTATAGAAGGTTGTTACTGTTATGTTTAAATCAGCAAAGATGGATCAAGAGGGTTTTTATGATTCAGATCTCCAATTTTTTACTTTACTTGCAACACCTATTGCTCTTAACTCCAGATGCTTCAATAGCCAAGAGTACCATCCCTCACTCCTATAGCACCTTATCTCATAACATCATCTCTAGAGCTTTGAATTCAAACCTCCTGAACAGTTTGAATCTGCCATTCTCTCCTCTTGCAACCTTGATCTTTTAGAGTTCTACTTCTTTCCTTCAGTCCTTAACCAGGGAACAATTCATCCATTTTGTTCTTCATAGTAAAAATTTTCATTTTCTTTCAATAATTTTTAGGGTTTAATGTTGTAAGGCAGATGGACAATAGTGAAGGAAATTTGGGATAATTGTAGGGCTGTAGGGAGAAATGGAGAGGTGACTGGTTATGGTCATAAGCTGGAAGTGGAAGGAAGAAGCAAAAAAATCATAGGCTGATAACATAGGAATCCACTAAAGCAACTTGAGAGGATTGGCCACCAAATTTCCTCACAATATGCATACTAGAAAATAAAATAAAACACTTCAAACAATGCATTGGGTGACCAACTAGTTTACAGATCAGCTTATTGATCAAAACCTTATTACTTTATGACCTTTTAAAATCGAAAGCTTAAAAAAATCTGTATGTCTCTGCACCAATTGATGCGGACATCAAATAGGCTACGTTACTCAGAAGAAGCAAAAAAATCATAGGCTGATAACATAGGAATCCACTAAAGCAACTTGAGAGGATTGGCCACCAAATTTCCTCACAATATGCATACTAGAAAATAAAATAAAACACTTCAAACAATGCATTGGGTGACCAACTAGTTTACAGATCAGCTTATTGATCAAAACCTTATTACTTTATGACCTTTTAAACTTGAAAGCTTAAAAAAATCTGTATATCTCTGCACCAATGAAGACCCAGTAGTGTATAATTCTCCTCTTGGTCCTATCTCCAAAGGCATTTCAATCCTGACCTCCACCACCGGAGTGCCCTCCAGAACTAAAAATTATTCTATGCAGACATTGGATGCTGTCTTGAGGCAAATTGGAGAACGTCACGTCACCCCATTTGCTGTGTATTGTAATTGTGTAACTGTTAAGTATCAGGTGACATGACGCGCTCTGATTTGCCTTCGGACGGTCTGATATCTGCATAGAATAATTTCTCGTATAAAACAACTTAGAAACCACTCCCTCAACAGTAACATCTCCACCACCAATTGTTTTAATAAAAAAAAAACTAACTATTGAATCCTTGAGGCTTCTTCAGTAACCATCTTGTTTAGGCTTCATTTAGGATGACTTTCTTACTATTTCTTAAAGCAAATTTTTGATACAAAATATTAAAAAGCTATTTTAAGAAGCAGTAAGAAAGCCGTCTTAAATAAAATCTTAGTGAAAGCATTTATGTAGAGGTATACTTCTTCATAGATAAGTGAATCATTTGGAGCCAGGAGCTACAATGATGTTAGACAGATGCTCCAAACTCTTCATCTTTAGAGAGGGAAACAAGATCAAAGAGAGCTTCAAAGAACAACTTCTGATGAATAAGCATCAAGATTTTGAAGCAAATTATGAGAACTATTAATGAATGATAAATATTTGTGTTAAACAACTTCTGTTTCTTTTATCGGAAGTGAAGATCTGTGAGAAAAATAAGAGTATTTTTAAGCAAATCATTGAACTATCAATCTAAAATATTGATGAACAGATTATTAGCTGAGCAGTTGCAAGCAGTTGATATGTTAATTTTTTATTCAAACAAGTAAATTAAGTGGGATACTATTATTAAGTCTGAGATTTTAATTGAATTAAGTGGGATATTATTTAAAAGCGACTAATTCGTGATAATTTAATATGTTTATGTTTGAGAGGAGTTGATGATTGAGGTTAATTACACTCACATGAGAGATTACTAATATATGCGAGGCTTCAGATTTTGGTTTTATTTGGAATGGCTTTCATATCGTTTCTTGAAGCAGTAAGAAAATCATCCCAAATAAAAGTTTCATTGGAATAGAAGATTTTATTATGAAGACCTAACTTCAATTCTTTTTATTCATTCTACATAAAAAATTTAAAATCAATCACCTGAACTTAAAATTGAATATATCTGCAATTGCTCCTCTTTTTTAAAAGAAATTATTCTGTGCGAAGTCCAGACTCCAATAAAATTGCGACACATGTACTGTACAAGTGGATATTATTTTCTATTTCTTATTTAATTTTTTTCTTACCAGACCAACCGACGTGATCTAGAACAAATCTTGTTTAAATTTTAGGGCTGAGTATTAGCGCGTTTTTTAAATGAAATACCACGAAAACATCATATTTTTTAGGATTGTAGCTCAAAAATATTTCATAGCTGCCGAGAAATAAAAACAAAGGAAAATCGATGAAGATAAAGACATATTTGGAGAAGGAGAAGATGATGAAGATAAGACTTAGAATGCTGGTTTAAATTCATAGCTTAATTATGAAAAAGGTCATTACAAATTTTTTTTTCTCTTGAAGAATAACAAAAAAAACTTATGAAAAATACAATTAAGCTAAAAGATTTCTTAAATTAGAAAACTCACAACCGTGATGATCACTAATCATGGTTATTGGTTAATACTCAATTGTACCAAGCGTCATACATAACGGTATACAACGATACACAACAGCGCTATATAACAGCACACAGCGGTACATAACGATACACAACAGTGGTATACAACGAACACAATAGCTATATACAGTGATACACACCATCAAAATGAAAAAAAAAAATCACATAAACAAAAGAGAAAAATATATAATAATTACATCCGAGCGAATAAATTAACGTCCACAGCGGACACAGTGGTACAAAAGCTTTAAAATGAATAAAGATAATATTGAAAATTTTACACAGTTAATTTATAGAAGCAAGCGTTCTTTCGCCAGGGCATATAAACAGTGCTCTTTTACAATAGCAAATCACGGAGTACAAATGACTTACAAAATTTAAAAACAAGTAGAATTTTAAAATTACTCTTACAATAAAAAAATTGTAAGAACCCCTCCAGGGGGCGCTTCACCCTCAGAATCCCCGACATATTCCCTAATTGTATAGAAAAAATATCATTCCTTATTTCTTCGAATCCAGTCTTCATCTTCATCGGCTTTTTCACCTCCAGACCAGTCTTCATCTTCACAGGCTTCTCCACCTCCAGACTAGTCTTCATCTTCATCGCCACTGGCTTCTCCTTGTTTCTTCTTTTTCAGCAGCTGTGAAAGGTTTACTGAGATGAATACCTAAAAAACACGGAACTTCCGCCATATTTTATTTAAAAAAAGTGTGCCAATCTTAAACCCTAATATTTGACCTGGCAATGTTTGGGCCTGGGTCAGTCGAGCCGGTAAGAAAAAAATTAAATGCAAAATAGAAAAGAATATCCACATATATAATACATGTGTCACAATTTTATTGGAGTCTGGACACAAAACTACATCCGGACTCCGCACAGAATAATTTCTCCTTTTTTAAAGCTAAGTTGGTGGAGCACTTAAGGTGACTGATACAGATAGGATGACAAATATACTATTTAGTCTAAAGCTACTTTAGCAACTATATATGATTCTTTATTGGTATGATGTTTACATAGAACAACTCTTAATGTGACATGAAAGGCTCTAGAGGAAAGAAAGAGATGGAGTTGGATGATGATGGTGAGGAAGATTGATCCAACAAGTTATTATAGTAGCATTATTTCAACATGTTGATTTCCTAATTAGGCTAGATTATGCAACTTTAGTGTACAATATTTTAATTAAATGCAAGATGTATTTTTGAAATGTAGTTATCAAATTATTCATTATCTCTATTAGTTTTATACATAATTTTTTGGAAAAATTTGACATTATGATTTAATTTGAGATGATTTTTTTATTGCTTCTTAAAATAAATTTTTAGTACAAGATTAAAATTTTTTACACTAAAAAGCTGCTTTAAGAAACAGTGAAAAACCAAATAAAGCCTATATCTCTGATAATGTACCTGCTTGAGATAATTTTCTTCTTTATTTTTATTTGGCCAGATATCCCCAAGCACAATTTTGGATTTAAAAAATCTAGAAAGCATAATAAGTATGTGTTTTGTGGAATTATATCTCGTTTAAAAGAATGGGCAGTGCCATTTTTAGCTTTTTCATTTACATTCTTATCTTGTTCTGTGATTTCTTTGTTTTTTTTTTTTTGGGACATTCTTTGTTCTTTCACTATAAGATTTTGTACCTTGGTACATGGAGTACGGGAAGAAGATTGTCTTGGTGTAGGGGTGTCAATTTTTGACACGACACGAAACACGACCCGAATCCGACCCGGAAAAATCCGGGTTCGGGTCAACCCAAACCCGAAACGGGTCGGGTTCGGGTTCATGAAATCAACCCGTTTTAAAAATCGGGTCGGGTTCGGGTTGACCCGCCAACCCGAAATTGACCCGAAAGTGACACGAAAGTGACACGAAAAATCATTTTTGACTCGAAAACCCGAGATTGACCCATTTTTTACCCGATTTTGACCCGAAAACCCGAGATTGACCCAATTTTTGACCCAAAAAATAGCATTTTGGGGTCAATCCCGGGTCATTCGTGTCAGGTCGGGTTGACCCGGACCCGAATCGGGTCGGGTTCGGGTCCAGAAACCTGACCCGTTTTTAAAAACGGGTCGGGTTCGGGTTGACCCGAACAGTGCCGGGTCAGTTCCGGGTTCGACCCGAACCCGACCCGTTGACCCGAATTGACACCCCTATCTTGGTGGTTATAAAGTTTAGGGTTTAGTAGTTGAATAAAATTTCTACTTCTATATATGAATGAGAATTTTAAATGTTTAAAGCTTATGGGCATTCGGTTAATGTTTCGTTTGGGACAGCTTCTTTCTTGCTTTTTAAAATAATTTTTTAGTAAAAAGTAATTATTTTTATACTAAAAAACT